GTTATCCCGCCTGGAAAAGGGATCGGGAATGGGATCGGGAACGGGATCGGGAACGGGACACTGGAGACGTTATCCCGCCTGGAAAAGGGAACGGGAATGGGATCAGGAATGGGATCGGGAACGGGGACATTGGGATGGGAATGGGGACCCCAAAATGGGAATGGGAATGGGAATCCCAGGAATGTGGGATGGGATCCCGGGGACACTGGGAATGGAATTGGGATACCAAGATGGGAATGGGGACAGTGGGATGGGAATGCGAATGCCAGGAATGTGGGATGGGATCCAGGATGGGAATGGGAATCCTGGAAATGCCAGGAACAGGAGATGGGATTCCAGGGACACGAATGGGATTCCTGGGAATGCTGGGAAGGTGCAATGGGATCCCAGGATAGGAACAGGAATCCTGGGAATCCAGGGATAGGGTCCAGGGACATGAATGGGATTCCTGAGAATGCCAGGAAGGAAGGATGGAATTCGGGATGGGAATGGGATTCCTGGGAATGCTGGGAATGCCGTAATGGGAATCCCAGAATGGGAATGGGATTCCTGGGAATGCTGAGAATGCAGGATGGGATCTGGGACGGGAATGGGATTCCCAGGATGCCGGGAAGGGAGGATGGGATCCGGGATGGGAATGGGATTCCTGGGAATGCCAGAAATGTAGAATGGGATCCGGGATGGGAATGGGAATCCCAGAATGGGAATGGGATTCCTGGGAATGCTGAGAATGCAGGATGGGATCTGGGACGGGAATGGGATTCCCAGGATGCCGGGAAGGGAGGATGGGATCCGGGATGGGAATGGGATTCCTGGGAATGCCAGAAATGTAGAATGGGATCCGGGATGGGAATGGGATTCCCGGGAATGCCGGGAAGGCAGGATGGGATCCAGGATGGAAATGGGATTCCTGGGAATGCCGGGAAGGCCGGATGGGATCCAGGATGGGAATGGGATTCCTGGGAATGCCGGGAAGGCAGGATGGGATCCGGGATGGAAATGGGATTCCCAGGATGCCGGGAAGGCAGGATGGGATCCAGGATGGGAATGGGATTCCAGGAATGCCGGGAAGGCAGGATGGGATCCGGGATGGGAATGGGATTCCAGGATGCCGGGAGGGCGGGACGGGACCCGGCAGGACCTGGGGTAGTGGCACTCGATGGGAATGACGGCCGGCTCGCTGCGCACGATGGCCGGGTTGCTGCCGGGGCTGGGATCGTAGCTCAGCAGCGTCCGGTAAATCAGGGAGTCCGGAGTGACCTGGGAACGAGCGCCGGGAATCCCGGGAAAGGGTCCTGAGCGAGCGGGAAGGGGGGGAATGGGGGAATCTGGGAATAAAAATGGGAATTCCGGGGAAAAGCTTTCCTCAGTCCCGAGCGAGGGGGAAGGGGGGGGGAATGGGGGAATCTGGGAATGAACACCGGGAATTCCGGGGGAAAAGGGCTCCTCAGTCCCGAGCGAGCGGGAAGTGGGAGGAATCAGGGAATCTGGGAATAAAAGCTGGGAATTCCAGGGGAAAAGGGATCCTCTGTCCCCAGTGAGCGGGAAGGGGGGAGAATGGGGGAATCTGGGAATGAACACCGGGAATTCCGGGGGAAAAGGGCTCCTCAGTCCCGAGCGAGCGGGAAGTGGGAGGAATCAGGGAATCTGGGAATAAAAGCTGGGAATTCCAGGGGAAAAGGGATCCTCTGTCCCCAGTGAGCGGGAAGGGGGGAGAATGGGGGAATCTGGGAATGAACACCGGGAATCCCGGGGGAAAGGGCTCCTCAGTCCCGAGCGAGGGGGAAGGGGGGGGAATGGGGGAATCTGGGAATAAAAATGGGAATTCCGGGGAAAAGGGATCCTCAGTCCCGAGCGAGCAGGAAGGGGAAGGAATCAGGGAATCGGGGGTGGTCTGGGAACAAAAAATGAGAATTCTGTGGGAAAAGGGGTTCCTCAATGCAGAGTGAGCAGGAATTGGAAGAAATCATGGAATCTGAGGTGATGTGGGAATGAAAACTGGGAATTCTGTGGCCTCAGTCCCGAGCGAGGGGGAAGGGGGAGGAATGAGGGAATCTGGGAATAAAAACCGGGAATTCCGGGGAAAGCGTTCCTCAGTCCCGAGCGAGCAGGAATTGGAAGAAATCATGGAATCTGAGGTGATGTGGGAATGAAAACTGGGAATTCTGTGGGTGTCCAATCAGGGGTATCAGCAGGGTGAGCGGGAATTCCAAGGAATTGGGGAATTCAGGATGATTTGGGAATTAAAATGGGGAATTCCGTGGGAGAGGTCAACCCTCATCCCGGCAGCACCACTGGGCTGGCTGGGAATGCTGAGGAATCCATGGAAATGGGGGAAAGGGGTGGAAAGGGGGGAAAAGGGATGGAAAATCGCGGTTTTCAGGGAGTTAAATTAAAACCGAGGGAAAAGGGGCTTTTCCCAGAGGAATGGGAAAAGCTGCGGGAAAACCGCTCAAATTCCCAGGAAACCGCGGCTCCTCCCTGCCCTGGAATGATCCCGGATCCAGCCCTGGATCTCCGTTAAACCGGGAACAGGCGCGGCCCCGGAGCTGGGAATTCCGGGATGGAGACAGGACTCACCTGGATCTCCCCATGGAATCTGAGGTGATGTGGGAATGAAAACTGGGAATTCTGTGGGTGTCCAATCAGGGGTATCAGCAGGGTGAGCGGGAATTCCAAGAAATTGGGGAATTCAGGATGATTTGGGAATTAAAATGGGGAATTCCGTAGGAGAGGTCAACCCTCATCCCGGCAGCACCACTGGGCTGGCTGGGAATGCTGAGGAATCCATGGAAATGGGGAAAAGGGGTGGAAAGGGGGGAAAAGGGTGGAAAAGGGATGGAAAATCGCGGTTTTCAGGGAGTTAAATTAAAACCGAGGGAAAATGGGCTTTTCCCAGAGGAATGGGAAAAGCTGCGGGAAAACCGCTCAAATTCCCAGGAAATCGCGGCTCCTCCCTGCCCTGGGATGATCCCGGATCCAGCCCTGGATCTCCGTTAAACCGGGAACAGGCGCGGCCCCGGAGCTGGGAATTCCGGGATGGAGACAGGACTCACCTGGATCTCCCTCAAAACCTGGGAATTGCACGGACCGGGAGCGCTCCAGGGGGAAATCCCGGCGGGAATCCCGGGATGGGAACGGGACTCACCCGGATCTCCCCCGACACCTCGGGATCTCCTGGAGCCTCTCCCGGGCGGAATCCCGGGATCGGAGCGGAATCCCGGGATCGGGACAAGGACTCGGGAATCCGCGCGATCCCGGGAGCCGCTCCCGGTGGGAATTCCGGGATGGGGACAGAGCTCAACTGAATCTCCCTCAAAACCTGGGATGCGGGCAACCCCGGGAGCCGTTCCAGGTGGGAATCCCGGGATCACGACGGGACTCACCCGGATCTCCCTTAAATCTGGGATTTGCACGGACCCGAGAGCCTCTCCAGGTGAGGATCCTGGGATCGGGGCGGAATCCCGGGATGGGGAAGGGAATCTCCTTAAATCCCGGAATCCGCACGGACCCGGGAGCCGCTCCCGGTGGGAATCCCAGGATCGGGGCGGGGCAAGGACTCACCTGGATCTCCCTTAAAACCGGCGATTTGCACCGATCCGGGAATTCCGGGATCCCGACAGGACTGCCCTGGATCTCCCCGGACACCGAGGGAGGATTCCAGGTGGGAATCCCGGGATAGGAGCACGGACTCACCTGGATCTCCCCTAAATCTGGGATTTGCACGAGCCCGGGAGCCGCTCCCGGTGGGAATTCCGGGATCAGGATGGGACTCACCTGGATCTCCCCTAAACCTGGGATTTGCACGGGCCCGGGAGGGAATCCCGGCGCCGGGAATGCCCGGATTCCCGGGGCGGACTCACCTGGACGGTGCTGCCGCACTCGTGCAGGCCGGCGCTGAAGGTGACGGTTTTCTGGGATGGATCCAGGCGGGAATGGCGGCAGGCGGCGGGGCCCAGGCTGAGCTCGGCCGCGCTGACCAGGCGGCCGTTCCCGAAGAGATCCCGGTGCACGGTGACCACCAGCTGCGCCTCCTGCGGACCCGGGAGGGAATCCCGGCGGGAATTCCGGGATGGGGCCGGGATCCCGGGCTCAGGATGGGACTCACCTGGATCTCCCCTAAACCTGGGATTTGCACGGGCCCGGGAGGGAATCCCGGCGCCGGGAATGCCCGGATTCCCGGGGCGGACTCACCTGGACGGTGCTGCCGCACTCGTGCAGGCCGGCGCTGAAGGTGACGGTTTTCTGGGATGGATCCAGGCGGGAATGGCGGCAGGCGGCGGGGCCCAGGCTGAGCTCGGCCGCGCTGACCAGGCGGCCGTTCCCGAAGAGATCCCGGTGCACGGTGACCACCAGCTGCGCCTCCTGGCACTGCACTTCCACCGGCACCTGCGGCCGGGAGCGGGGCCGGGAGTGCGGCCGCTCGTCCCCCCACATCCCGGGGTTGGGATCGCTCCATGCCGGCTCCCAGGGGGGCGGCGCCGCGGCCGCGGGGGCCGCGCACAGCAGCGCCAGGAGCAGGCGGAGCTGGGAGCGCATCGCGGAAAAGCCCCGGGATTCCCGGAGCCGGGGCTCGGCCCGGCTTTTATCCCGCTGGGAAGGAGCCCGGCTCCCCCCGCTGGAATGCCAAGGGCGCCCCTGAGAGCGTTCCCGTCATTTCCCGGCGGCGAGGGGTCGGGATGAGCGGGATTTTGGGAATTGTTTGTCCCGGCGGGAGCCGCGAGCCCAGGGAATTGTTTGGGCTCGGCGCTGATAAGGAGCGAGCAGAGGCTCCGCTTCTCCCGGATCCCGAATTCCAGGGATAACCCCAGAACTCCCGGAGCGCTGCGCTCCCCTCGGACGAGGAATTTTGGGGGGGTTATCCCAAAAAAATGAAGGAATTTTGGTTCCGACTCCCTCCCCGGGCTGGAATTTTGGGGTGTGCGGTTGATCCGAACCCCTCTGGATGCGCAAATCCCGGGGTTTTTTTTTGGGATACAACCTGGCTTCCCCCCTCTTCCCAAAAAATCCTCATCCAAGGCTCCAGGATCCCGAATTCCAGGGATGATCCCGGAGTTCTGCTCTCCCCTTGGATTTTTGGGAAGAGGAAGGGGGAGAGAAGGTTCTATCCCAAAGAAAAAATGGGATTTGGGGGGTCGCTGTCACCCCTAATTCCAACCGAAATTCCTTCCTTTTTTTTTTTGGGATGGAACGAGGGGAAAACGCTCCGGGATCATCCCTGGAATTGGGGATCCCGGGAAAAGCGGAGCCTCGGATGAGGATTTTGGGAAGAGGGGGAGGGGAAGCCACGCTCTATCCCCAAAAAAAAGAAGGAATTTTGGCTCCGACCTCGCCCCCGGGCTGGAATTTTGGGGTGTGCGGTGATCCAAACCCCTCTGGATGCGCAAATCCCGGGTTTTTTGGGATACAACCTGGGATCCTCCCCCTTTCCCAAAAATCCTCATCCAAGGCTCGGCTTTCCCGGGATCCCCAATTCCAGGGATGATCCCGGAGCGCTGCTCTGCCCTCGGATGAGGAATTTTGGGAAGAGGAGAGGGAGGAGAAGGGTCTATCCCAAAGAAAAAATGGGATTTGGGTTTGGATCTCCGGGAATGACGGAAACCCCAAAATTCCTGCATTTTCCCCAATCCCAAAGTTCATCCCGGGGCGGTGTTCTCCCCTCGTTCCATCCCAAAAAAAAGAAGGAATTTTGGTTGGAATTAGGGGGTGACAGCGACCCCCCCTCCCCAAATCCCTTTTTTTTTTTGGGATGGAACAAGTGGAAAACCCCGCTCTGGGATTATCCCTGGAATTCAGGATCCCGGGAAAAAACAGAGCCTTGGATGAGGATTTTTTGGGGAGTTGTATCCCAAAAAAATGGGATTTGGGTTTGGATCGTGGGGAATGACGGAAACCCCAAAAATTCCAGCATTTTCCCCAATTCCAGGGAAAATCCCAGAACCCCCTGAGGGACATTTTCCCCTTGGATGAGGAATTTGGGGCAGGATCCCACTTTCTATCCCTAAAAAAGAAGGAATTTTGACTCCCAGGCTGGGAATTTTGGGGTCTCCGTCATTCCCAGTGATCCAAACCCCTCTGGATGCACAAATCCCTTTTTATTTTTGGGATACAGCCCGGGATCCTCCTCCCCTATTCCCAAAACTCCTCAGCCAAGGCTCCAGGACCCCAAATTCCAGGGATAATCCCTCATTCTATCCCCCCAAAAAAATGGGATTTGGGTTTGGATCATCAGGAATCACCGAGACCCCAAAAATTCCTTCATTTCCTCCTTCCTGGCTCGTCCCATTCCATCCAAGGAAAAGGGAAAAACAGGGAAAACTCCCTGGAATAAATCCCAAACATTTTCCAGGCTCATTCCAAATTTTCCCTCATTTTTGTGGGGTTTTTTTCACGCCCTCTCTTATCCCAATCCCGTTTTTTAATGGAATTTTTATGGAATTATTTTTTTTTAATTGGAATTTTTATATGGAATTTTAATGGCATTTTTTACATTGATTTTTTAAATGGAATTTTTAAATGGAATTTCTGTCCCTCCTCATTCCCCCCCAAACCTGTTCCCACTTTTCCATCAGCTCCACTTTTCCCAAATCCCAAAATCCCTCTCCTCCTTTTTCCCTGGAAAAATCCCCCCGGATTTGGGATTTTTTTTTTCCCAAAAATCGGCCCCAAATGCATTCCTGGCTTTGATCCCAAAGGAATTCCCGGGGTTTTGGAGCTGGAACCGGCTCAGCATTCCCAAAAATTTTTATGGATCAGCGTCACCCCCTCCACTGCTTCCAGGGCTTTTCCCTCATCCCAAAATCCCCAATCCCAGGGGATTTTTTTAATTTTTATTTTTTTTCCTCTGTGTTTAAAATACTTCTGGAGCAGCGCGGAAATTCCCGGAATTCCAGAGGCTGCGCTCCTGCGTCAGGGAGATATCGGGAATTTCCCCGAGGGGGAAAAAATCCTTGGATTCAAGGCCTGGCCTCAGCCCAGGAAACTCCGGGATCCCTTTGGGATTTTGGGAAAAATCCCTCGGGATGGAGGCGGAGGGGAAATTCTGGGAATGTGGGGGGAGTTCCATGGGGGAAAGGATTCCCGGGATTTCTGATTTCCCGGGAAAAAACGGGAGAGGGATTTTTTGGGAATTCCCAAGGAGCTGGGAAAGCACCAAATCCAGGATTTCTCCCATCTCGTTTTCCCTAAAAACCGAGTTTCAATCCCGGGAATTCTGAGAGCTCCAGGAATTCCAAGGGTTTTCCCTCATCCCTGATTTCTTTGGGGTTTTCCCAGATTTTCCCGAGGTTTTCCCTCGTTCCCAGCTCTGCGGTTGGGATTTGGGCTCTTCCCGAGTTTTTAGGATCGAAATCCCTCTGGATCCCAGGAAAACCAAGGGGTGATCCCAAAAAAAACCCCAAAAACCTGGATTGGGAAGGAATCCATGAGGATTTGGGGCCTAGGAAGGGATTCGGGATTTCTTTCCCAAATCCCCCTCGGAATCTCATCCCAAGGAATTCCAGCTGAGGTGACCCCACAATTCCCAGTTTCCCATGGCCAGGAATCCCAAATCCCAGGGGAGCAAATCCCGGCTCTTCCCTTTCCCACAAACCCCCAAATCCTTGAAAAACCCCAAAATTCCCTCCAGATTCCCCAAATTTTTCCTTTTCCAGCCCCACAAAATCCCAGGATTCAGGAATGGCAGTGGGAAAACCCAAAATCCCATAAAATAAGAGAGGAAAAAAGCAGGAAAAGGGAATTTTGGAGCCGCTTTTGGGATCGGGGGAGGGAATTGGGAGCGCAGGAATTCCAAGGATTGTTTATCCTGGTGGGATCCGAGAATTCCAAACAATCCTTGGAGCAGGGATCGGAATTCCGGGGTTTGGGATTCCTGGGGGTGCAATTCCCGCCTCTCTCTCATCCCAAACTGGGATTTTATCCCAAAAAAAACCACCCTGGATTTGATCCTATTCCCGGATTTTTCCAAATGTAAAAAATCCATGGAAAATTGGGAGTTTGGGAAGAGCTTTTCCCTTTCCCCAGAGGTTTTTCCCAGGAAAAATCCCGGCTGGAGAAATGGGGGTTCTGATTCCAGAGAGATTCCTGGGAGTTTTGGGATCAGGGAGCTCCAAAAGCAGAAAAAATTGGGAAAAATCTCATCCAGGATCCCAAATTCCTCCTTTTCCTGCGATTTTCTGGTTGGAAAAAGGCTGATCCCAAATCCTGGTGGGAATTCCGAGCTCTCCTCCCTTTTCCAAGGGTCAAAAATCTGGGGAAAAAATGGATTTTTGGGATTTGGGATCCTGGAATCCCCCCCCCCAAAAAAAAAAAAAGTAAAAAAAAAAAATTAAAAATTGGATTTTTGGAATTTGTGATCCCAGAAATTGGATTTGGGATCCTGGAATTTTTATGGGAAAAATTGGATTTTTAGGATTTGGAACCCCAGAATTCCCATTTTCCCCAATTCCAGACTGGGATTTGGGATCCCGGAATCCTAAAAATTGGATTTTTGGGATTCCAGAATTGGGATTTGGGATCCTGGAACTTTTCTGAGGAAAACTGGATTTTTAGGATTTGGGATCCTGGCATTCCCATTTTCCCCAATCCCAAACTGGGATTTAGGATCCCAGAATTCCCATTTTTCTCAATCCAGCCCCTCCAAACCCTTGGGAATTCCTTCGGGGTGGATTTCCCGGGATCTCCTGGGATTTCCCAGGAATTTCTGGGTGTCCATTTGGGATATTTGGGAACATCCCGGGAATTTCCCCCACAGCGAGGATTTCCCGCTCGGGATTGGGGTTTCTGTGGGAATTCCGGCTGGGAACAGGAGATCCCATGGGATCACCAAGAGTTTTTGGGGTTGGGAATGTGACCCCAAAGCGGCCGATCCCACAGAATTCCAGGATCCTAATCCCAAGGAGATCCCATGGGATTACCAGGAATTCCAGGATTCCCAAACTGGGAATTTTGGGGTTGGCAATGGGACCCCAAATGGGGCAAATCCCACAGAACTCTGGGATCCTGAGCCCATGTCTAAGGGGGATCCCATGGGATTGCCGGGAGTTTCTGGGGTTGGGAATGTGACCCCAAAGTGGCCGATCCCACAGAATTCCTGGATCCTGATCCCAACCCTGCCGTACCCAAGGAGGATCCCACGGGATCGCTGGGAATTCCAGGATTCCCAAACTGGGAATTTTGGGGTTGGCAATGGGACCCCAAATGGGGCAAATCCCACAGAACTCTGGGATCCTGAGCCCATGTCCAAGGGGGATCCCATGGGATCACTGGGGTTTCTGGGGTTGGGAATGTGACCCCAAAGTGGCTGATCCCACAGAATTCCTGGATCCTGATCCCAACCCTGCCGTACCCAAGGAGGATCCCATGGGATCACTGGGAATTCTGGGATCCCCAAACTGGGAATTTTGGGGTTGGGAATGTGACCCCAAATGGGGTAAATCCCACAGAATTCCAGGATCCTGATCCCATTCCCAAGGGGGATCCCATGGGATTACCGGGGTTTTTAGGGTTGGGAATGTGACTCCAAATGTGACAAATCCCACAGAATTCCAGGATGTGACCCCAAAGTGGCCGATCCCACAGAATTCCTGGATCCTGATCCCAACCCTGCCGTACCCAAGGAGGATCCCACGGGATCGCTGGGAATTCCAGGATTCCCAAACTGGGAATTTTGGGGTTGGCAATGGGACCCCAAATGGGGCAAATCCCACAGAATTCTGGGATCCCAATCCCATTCCCAAGGAGGATCCCATGGGATTACCGGGGTTTTTAGGGTTGGGAATGTGACTCCAAATGTGACAAATCCCACAGAATTCCAGGATCCTGATCCCATTCCCAAGGGGGATCCCATGGGATTACCGGGGTTTTTAGGGTTGGGAATGTGACCCCAAATGTGACAAATCCCACAGAATTCCAGGATCCCGATCCCGACCCTTTTGTTCCCAAGGAGGATCCCACGGGATTGTTGGGAATTCTGGGATTCCCAAACTGGGAATTTTGGGGTTGGGAATGTGACCCCAAATGGGGTAAATCCCACAGAATTCCAGGATCCCGATCTGACCCTTACGGGGTCCGGGGTCACCTGGGGCAGTGACACTCGAGGGACACCGGGGAAGGGTTTGGGGTCACCGGGGCCAGGGTGGCACTCGAGGGTCTGGGGTCCCCTTGGGTGGTGGCACCCGAAGGGTTGGGGTCACCCGGGCTGGGGACACTCCAGGGACACCGGGACAGGATTTGGGGTCACCTGGGCTGGGGACACTCCAGGGACACCCGGACAGGATTTAGGGTCACCTGGGCTGGGGACACTCCAGGGACACCGGGACAGGATTTGGGGTCACCCGGGCTGAGGACTGAACAAATATTTTGGGGTTTTTCTCTCGCTGCCCCCTCGGTGCCACCCCGGGCGCCAGCGCGGGGACAATTCCCGGAGCTCCGGGGCCCTCCCGCGGTCCCGCCCCGCTCTGGCGACACTCGGCGAGGTGGCGTTGTCGCCGGCGCGGGGATGGGGACAGGAAAGAGGAGCGGCGGCGCTTCCTGGTGGCTCCGTCATGTGACGGCGGCGGAGCGGATCCCACCCCAAACCCCGGCCCGGTGAGCGGGCCCCGTTCCGGGAGCGCGGCGATTTGGGATCGGGGCGGCCCGGCCCCAAAAGCGGCTGGCAGAAGGGTTTTGTCCCCAAAATCCCGGCCTGGTGGCGGTGCCACCCCCGCCGTGTCGCGGGGTGGGAAGGGAGGGGATCCTGGGAATGGGGCCGGGATTGGGGTGGGAACGGGGCCGGGAATGGGGCCGGGAATGGGGCCGGGAATGGGGCCGGGAATGGGGCCGGGAATGTCCCTCCCGGACGGGGCTGGCACGGCCCCACGCGCGGGGACAACGGGGGCGGACCGGGACCGGAGCGGCCCACGGGACCGGCAGCGCTTCCCGGACCCAAATTCCTGTCCCACAGCCCCATCCTGGTCCCAGAATCCCCATCCCGATCCCACATCTCCATCCCGGTCCCACAATCCTCATTCCTATCCCAGAATCCACATTCCGATCCCACACCCCGATCCCGGTCCCACATCCCCATCCCGATCCCAAAATCCCATCCAGATCCCACATCCCAAGCCCATATCCCGATGCCGCACCCCCATCCCGATCCTACAATCCCCATCCTCATCCCGCATCCCAAAATCCCGGTCCCACATCCCCATCCCGATCCCAAAATCCCGGTCCTGATCCGACATCCCCATCCCGATCCCGCACCCGATCCCGGTCCCACATCCCCATCCCGATCCCAAAATCCCGATCCCAATCCCGCATCCCCCCGGTTCCCGCACGCCCGGATTCCCCCGGCCCCGCCCCACAGCTCCCGGTCTCCCCTCCCGTCCCTCCCTCTCCCCTCCCGTCCCTCCCTCTCCCCGCCCTCTCCCCGCTCCTCCTCCGCCGCTCCCGTTCCCTCCCGGCCCCGCCGCGCCCCCGCAGGTACCGGGGGGACACGGGGACGCACCGGAGCCCCGGGGGGACACGGGGACACCCCGGAGCCCCGGGGGGACACGGGGACACCCCGGAGCCCCGGGGGCGGCTCCTGCCCGGGGAGAGGGGCGGGTGCGTTTTTAGGGCGGGGTGGGAAGGGGGGTCCCGGCTTTTCCTGGCTCCCCCAAATATTTATTGGGGGGACGGGGGGGGTTTGTCCGCGCTGCCGAGCTGGGGGTGAGGGGTGGCGAGGGGGACACCTCTGGGGACACATTTGGGGACTGGGCTGGTGCTGGGGACAGCGCTGGTGCCGGAGGGGTTTTGGGATCGTTGCCAGGGGGTTTTGGGGTCGCTGCTGGGAGGTTTTGGGGTCACTGCCGGGGAAGTTTTGGGGTCGCTGCCAAGGGGTTTTGGGGTCGCTGCCAGGGTGTCCCCGCTTTCCCTCTGTCGGGGCGGGAAGGGGCGGTGGCGGTAACGACACCAAAACCGTTTTGGTTTCGTTTCCACCGGCGCTTGGGAAATCCCAAATTGCAGGAAGGCCGGGAGCTCGGGGAGGGTGGGGAGGAACCTGCGAGGGGCGGGCCAGCAGAACCCCGAGCGCCATTCGTGGGGCCGATCCCAAACTTCCTCCATCCCACGGGACAATCCCACATCTCCGCAGATGGAGACGGAACCGGAGCCAGAACCGGAACCGGAGCTTCCCCCTCCGCCGGGCCCCGCCGCTCCGGCCTCCCCCCCGTCCCACCCCGCGGAGGGCGAGCGTGACGATGAGGAGGAGGACGAAGATTTCCAGTTCCTGCGCTGCGACGGCTGCGGGCAGGACTCGGCGCGGCCGCGGCTGCTGCGCTGCCTGCACACGCTGTGCCCGGCCTGCCTGAGCGACACCAAGCTGTGCCCGCGCTGCCAGGCGGCCGCGGGCGCGCCCGCCGTGGACAACCTGCTCTTCTGCAACCTGCGGAGCCGCCTGCAGCTCTGGCGGCAGATCCGCAGCCCCGGCGGGCCCGGCTGCAGCCGCTGCCGCGCCGAGGCGGCGCTGGTGTGGTGCTCGGACTGCGAGGAGTTCTTCTGCGGCCGCTGCCTGGACGAGCACCAGTGGTGGCACAAGAGGAAGGAGCACAGGGTGCGCAGGGTGGAGGAGCTGCGGGCGGGCTCGGCGCGGCAGTTCCTGCAGGACACGCGCGGCTCCTGCAGCCTCTTCTGCTCCAGCGCCAGCCACCCCCGGGAGAGCCGCGTGTGCAGGTGGGAGCGCCGGGGCTGGGCCGGCGGTGGGCGTGGTGCCAAACCTCGTCCTGGTCCCAAACCTCATCCTGATCCTAAAGCTCGTCCTGTCCCCCAACCTCGTCCTGGTCCCAAATCTCATCCTGGTCCCAAACCTCATCCTGGTACCAAACCTCATCCTGGTCCCAAACCTTGTCCTGTACCCAAACCTCGTCCTGGCCCCAAACCTCGTCCTGGTCCCAAATCTTGTCCTGGCCCCAAACCTCATCCTGGTCCCAAACCTTGTCCTGGCCCCAAATCTTGTCCTGGCCCCAAACCTCATCCTGGTCCCAAACCTTGTCCTGTACCCAAACCTCGTCCTGGCCCCAAACCTCGTCCTGGTCCCAAACCTCATCCTGATCCTAAACCTCGTCCTGATCCTAAACCTTGTCCTGTCCCCCAACCTCGTCCTGGTACCAAACCTCGTCCTGGTCCCAAACCTCGTCCTGGCCCCAAACCTTGTCCTGGCCCCAAATCTTGTCCTGTCCCCAAACCTCGTCCTGTCCCCAAACCTTGTCCTGGTTCTAAACCTTGTCCTGTCCCCAACCTCGTCCCGTTCTCAAACATCCTCTTCTCAAATCTTGTCCTGTCTCCAAATCTCATCCCATCCCAAATCTCATCCTGTCCTCCAAACTTGTCCTGTCCCCAAATTGCACACTGTCCCCACACCTCAGCCTGTTCCTAAACATTGCCATGGCCCCAAATCTTGTCCTGCCGTTCTCAAACATCCTCTTCTCAAATCTTGTCCTGTCTCCAAATCTCATCCCATCCCAAATCTCATCCTGTCCTCCAAACCTGTCCTGTCCCCAAATTGCACACTGTCCCCACACCTCAGCCTGTCCCTAAACATTGCCATGGCCCCAAATCTTGTCCTGTCCTCAAATCTCATCCCATCCCCAAACCTCGTCCTGTCCCCAGAACTCATCCTGTCCCCAGAACTCGTCCTGTCCTCAAATCGCATCCTGTACCCAAATCTCGCCCTGCTCCCAAATGTCCTCCCATCCACAAATTTCATCCTGTACCCAAAACTCATCCTGTCCCCAAATCCTGTCCTGTCCCCAAAACTCATGTTGTCCCCAAATCTTATCCTGTCCCCAAATCCCACCCTGCTTCAGGAGCTTTGGGGATGATGCTCCAGCCTGGAATGTGCAGGAGTGAGTGGGATGGGCCCAAATCTCATCCTGGGTCCAAATCTCTCCCATCCCTAAACCTCATCCAAAATCTCCCCCATCCCAAATCTCACCCCGATCCCAAACCCCCTCCTGTCCCCAAAGCTCTGCCGAGGGTATTTTGTCCCCTGTGTTTGGGGACTGATGGCAGTGACCCCACAGCGACCCCAGGGAGCCAGGGGAGCTCCAGTGGGGATTTAGGGAAAGGTTCCAGAGGGGCCTGGGCATGGCTTGGGATGTCCTGGAATGGGCACTGACCACTGACCATCACTGACCAGTGCCCATCCCTAACTCCTGTCCATCACTGATTGCTGACCATCAGTGCCCATCACTGACCAGTGCCCATCCCTGACCCCTGTCCCTCCCTGTCCCTCCCTGTCCCCTGTCCATCCCTGTCCATCCCTGACCCCTGTCCCTCCCTGCCCTCTGTCCATCCCTGACCCCTGTCCATCCCCATCCATCCCTGTCCCTCCCTGCCCTCTGTCCCTCCCTGACCCCTGTCGCTCCAGTGGGGATTTAGGGAAAGGTTCCAGAGGGGCCTGGGCATGGCTTGGGATGTCCTGGAATGGGCACTGACCACTGACCATCTCTGACCATCTCTGACCCCTGTTCACCCCGACCCCTGTCCCTCCCTGCCCTCTGTCCCTCCCCGCCCCGTGTCCATCTCCCCCATCCCGGTACCCAATCCCGGTACCCCGGAGCAGCTCCGCGCTGTCCCCCCCCGTGTCCCTGCTGCCACCCCTCCCTGACGCCCCCCCTGTCCCCCCTGCCAGCATCTACTGCCCCCGCTGCGAGCGTGCCCTGTGCTGTCCCTGCGCGCTGCTGGACACCGGCCACGCTCCGTTCCGCGACCTCCGCGCCGAGAGCCGCCGGCGCCAGGACGAGCTGCGCTCGCTGCGCCGGGACCTGCGGCGGCTCCGCGAGCTCCGCGCTGTCCCCCCCCGTGTCCCTGCTGCCACCCCTCCCTGACGCCACCCTTGTCCCCCCTGCCAGCATCTACTGCCCCCGCTGCGAGCGTGCCCTGTGCTGTCCCTGCGCGCTGCTGGACACCGGCCACGCTCCGTTCCGCGACCTCCGCGCCGAGAGCCGCCGGCGCCAGGACGAGCTGCGCTCGCTGCGCCGGGACCTGCGGCGGCTCCGCGGCTCCTTCGAGGCGGCGCTGGCGCGGCTGCGGGGCGCGGCGNNNNGGAGCTGCGCGGGGCCGAGGGCGCGCTGCTGCGGCTGGAGGCGGCCGAGAGGCTGGCCGAGAGGCTGGGGCGCTACGGCGGCGAGCAGGAGCTGATGGACATGCAGCCCTTCGTCAAGGCGGCGCTGCTGGAGCTGCGGCGGCTGCGGCCGCCCGAGCCCCCCGAGCTCCGCGAGCCGCCCGACTTCGCCGAGTGCCGGGCGCGGCTGCGGGCGCTGGTGGAGCGGGTCACGGGGCGGCCAGGTGAGGGCCGGGCCGGGCCGGGCCGGGCCGGGCTGGGGAGGGAGCTCTGGGATGGGCCGGCTGCAAAACACCTTCCGTCAACAGGGGCAGGCTGCATTCCTCTTTCTCCTTGCTGCATTCCTCTTTTTCTTCTTCTTTTTCTTCCTCGTTTTCTTCATCTTCTTCTTCTTTTTCTTCTTCTTTTTCTTCTTCTTTTTCTTCTTCTTCTCTCCTTCTTTTTCTTCTTTTTCTTCTTCTCTTTTCTTTTTTCTCCTTCTTCTCCTCCTTGTTCCCCTTCTTCTTTTCCTTTTTCACCTTCTTCCCCTTCTCCTTCTCCTCCCCCTCTTCTCCCTCCTGTTCATCTTCCTCCTCCTTATTTCCCTTTTCCTTGTTCTCCTTCCTCCTTCTTCTCCTCCTCCTCCTCCTTATTTTTCTTTTTTCCTTCTTTTTTCCTTCTTTTTTTCCTTCTTTTTTTTCCTTTTTTTCTTCTTTTTTCTTCTCTTTTTCTTCTTTTTTTTCTTCTTTTTCTTCTCCTTCTTCCCCTTTTCCTCCTCCTCTTCCTCCTCCTCCTCCTCCTCCTCCTCCTCCTCCTCTCCCCCGTTTCCCTGCTGCAGCTCCTCACCTCCCAGAGCCGGGATTTGCTCCGTTGTTTTTGTGGAGCCCCTTTGGGTGTCCCCCATCCCAGTGGCTCTGGGGACGCTCATTCCCGGCTCCCCGGGGCCACCCCGATCCGAGGGAAGGGGTTTGGAGCTGCCGGGCGGGATCTTCCCGGCTCCAGAGGCTCGGGCTCCAGGTCTCATCCTGGTTTTCTCCATCCCCAGATGTCTCCGAGGTCGAGGCGGCCCTGGAGAACAACCTGGTGAGGCATCGGGCTGCTCCATCCCCAACCTGCCCCGCTCCTTTCCCTCCCCAACCCGGTATTCCAGGGTTTTCCTCACCCACAAATTCCCACATCCCACCGGGCACTGCTCCATCCCTGGGGAATTCACGGGAGCAGACCCATCCCAAACCCTCTGTGCCTCAGTTTCCCCATTCCCGAGGGTGTTCCCACCCCTCCACTGGGACCCAAATCCATCCCAACTCCCCGCTGTTCCCGCAGGAAGAGGATCCAACCCATCCCAAACCCCACAGCGTCTCCCCCAGCCTGGAGGAGATCCACGTGGAGCAGGTGAGGCCCATCCATCCCATCCCATCCCGGTGGGATCCGCTGGGATCCCAATCCCACCCCAATCCCAATCCCAATCCCGCTTTTCCAGCCTCTCCCGCTGCCCTGCTGGAAGAAGCGGCCGCTGCCCAGCGTGGAGAGGGGCAGCCAGATGTCTCCCAAAATCCTGAAGCTGGAATGCGACCACGAGCCGGGCCCCAGCCATCCCAAATTCCAGTGGGAATTCCGGACGGAGCCCGGCCCCTCCACGTCGCAGCACAACTGCGTCGGTGCCGGTGACACGGGTGGGCACCGGGAATGTCACTGTCACCGTCATCCCGCTTTTCCTCGTCCCATGGGATCCTTCCCGGCCTTTCTGCACCCCCATTCAATGGGAATCTTGGCCAAGGGTGGGGATGATGCAGATCCGTGGGGTGAGGGATCCATGGGGTGAGGAATACATGGGATGAGGGATCCATTGGATGAAGGATCCATGGAATGAAGGATCCATGGAATGAGGGATACATGGGATGAGGGATCCATGAGATAAAAGATCCATGGGGTAAAGGATCCATAGGCTGAAGGATCCATGGGATGAGGGATCCATGGGATGAAGGATCCATGGGATGAGGGATCCGTGGGATAAAAGATCCATGGGGTGAGGGATCCATAGGCTGAAGGATCCATGGGATGAGGGATCCATGGAATGAAGGATCCATGGGATGAGGAATCCATGGGGTGAGAGATCCATGGGGTGAGGGATCCATGGGATAAAAGATCCATGGGGTGAGGGATCCATGGAATGAAGGATCCATGGGATGAGGGATCCGTGGGATAAAAGATCCATGGGGTGAGGGATCCATGGGATGAAGGATCCATGGGATAAGGGATCCATGGGATGAGGGATCCATGCAAGGAGGGATCCGTGGGATGAAGGATCCATGGGATAAAAGATCCACGGGGTAAAGGATCCATATGAAGGATCCATGGAGTGGGGGATCCACAGGGTGAGGGATCCATGTGAAGGATCTGTGGGATGAGCATCCATGGGATGAGGGATCCATGGAATGAGGGCTCTGTGGGATGAGGGATCCATGGGATGAAAGATCCATGGAATGAGGGATCTGTGGGATGAGGGATCTGTGGGATGAGGGATCCATGGGATGAGGGATCCATGGGATAAGGGATCTGTAGAATTCAGAATCCATGGAGTGAGGAATCCATGGTGTGTGGGATGCATGGGGTGAAGGATCCATGGAATTCAGGACCCATGGGATGAGTGATCCATGTGAAGGATTCATGGGATGAGGGATTAATGGATGAGGGATCCATGGGGTGAAGGATCTGTGAAATGAGGGATCTGTGGGGTGAAGGATCCATGGGATGAGGCATCCATGGGATGAGGGATCCATGGAATTCAGGACCCACGGGGTCCCCACCACTCCAGGGGTTGTCCCCATGCTCTGGTTGGTTCCTGGTGCAAAGCTCGGGAACGTTGATCCCGTGGGATCTGGAATTTTGGGGTTTCCCTTGCAGAGGGCGGCAGCATCATCATCTGCAGCTCGGACGACAGCGACGAGGACGCCGTGCTGCTGACGGTGACGCCGGAGCCGCCTCCCTGCTGACGTCCCGTGGGATCCTCCGGCCTCGTCCCGCAATTCCCGGCCTCCCACTCCAAGATTTCCTCTGGGCTTTCCTCTTCTTGGCCAATCCCAAATTTATTCCTGGGCTGAGCTCCGGTGTTCCTGAGTGGCCCCAAATCCCACCTGGATCTGCTGGGCTCTCCCCTTGGAGGCTTTGAGGTTTCCTGGGAATGTTCTTCTCCTCTTCAATCCCATCTGGGTTGATCCCAAAATAAGATTTGGGATGGGAGTTGCCGGCGGATCCCCTTCCCGAGCCCCCCAAAGGTGGGGAGATGATCCCAAGGGTGGGATCCCCTCTGGGATCAGCAGCTGGAGCAGGGATTTCCTTGGGATTGGGATTGGGATTGGGATTTGGGTTCTTTTCCTGGTGTAATGAGGGCTTAAAATCCCGGGTTTTTTATCTCTCCCCTCAATAAAGCTGCTCCGGGATAAAATTCCAGCTGCTTCCTCTTCTTCCTACCCTGCTTTTCCCAGCCCATCCCGAGCAAAGGGAAAACTGGGAATTCTGGGGTGAAACTGTCCCTGCTGCCTGCTCCTGGCACTGATCGGATTTTAAGGATGGGAAAAATCCTCAAGATCCCAGGGATAAAATTCCCACATTCCATGGGTGGAGGAGCCTCTTGCAGCCACATTCCCACAAATCCAGGGCTGCCGGGAAAGAGGCAAATGGAATTTCCATTTCCCAGGAAAAGGGTGTGGGATTGTCCTGAGGGAAAAGAGGGAATGGATTTGGGTCTCTGCTTTTATCCCAGATCCCTTTTTTTATGGGACACACCAGCTCCAGGAATGTTTTCCATGGATTAAATTCCTGGGATTTGAGCGTTCCTGCCTCAATCTTGGCCAGATTTGGGATTCCCAGACCCCATTTTTGGGGCTCCCTACTCCAGGAATATTTCCATGGATTAAATTCCCATTCCTCGCTCCCAAGGCTGTTCCCAGCCAGCCCCAAACCACCAGTCGGGTTTGGGATCCCTTTTCCAGGATTTTGGGGACCTGGGGACACCGGCCCAGGGGTGGCACCTGGCCCTGTGCCCATCCCAGCCCTTGGGATTCCCAGTTGGAGCTGGGAATTCCGGAATTCCATGGCCTCGAGGGTGTCCCCAAAAGTGACATTGTCCGGGGAATGTGGGGACACACGGGGACCCCAAAATCCCCATTCCAACCCTTCTCCCAGGATATCCTGGAGGTGGTGGCACTGAGTGTCCCCATGCAGGTGGCACTGGGTGTCCCATGCAGCTGGCACTGTGTCCCCATGCAGGTGGCACTGGGTGTCCTATGGAGGTGGCACTGTGTCCCCATGCAGGTGGCACTGGGTGTCCCATGCAGCTGGCACTGGGTGTCCCATGCAGGTGGCACTGGGTGTCCCATGCAGGTGGCACTGTGTCCCCACGCAGGTGGCACTGTGTCCCCATGCAGCTGGCACTGGGTGTCCCATGCAGGTGGCACTGGGTGTCCCATGCAGGTGGCACTGGGTGGCAGTCGCGCGTCGCCGAGCGGGGCTGGCTGTGACAAGGCAGTGCCACCACCAGGTGTCCCCTTCGCACAGCGGCTCGCGGGCTGGCGCTGCTCTGGGGACACGGGGACACCGACACGGGGACACAGGTGACACTGACATTGTTGGCACTGGGGACGCGGACACCGTGTAACTGACACGGTGACACTGACACTGTGACACTGACGCTGTGACACTCACACGGTGACACTGGGGACACAGACGCGGTGACACTGACACGGTGTCACAGCCATTGTCACGCTGCCATTGTCACACCGCCAGTGGTCACGTGCCCACCCGGACCCCCCGCGTGTCCCCCCGAAGGTCCCTCGGTCACCCCCGGGTGGGCCGAGGGTGTGTTGGCACTGGGGACGCGGACACCGTGTAACTGACACGGTGACACTGACCCTGTGACACTCACCGGGTGACACTGACACGTGTGACACTGACACGTGTGACACTGACCCTGTGACACTGACGCGTGTGACACGGTGACACTGACGCTGTGACGCTGACATGGTGACACTCACCCGGTGACACTGGGGACACAGACGCGGTGACACTGACACCGTGTCACTGCCATTGTCACGCTGCCATTGTCACACCGCCATTGGTCACGTGCCCACCCGGGATGTTTCCCTTTCCCTGCATCTCTCTCCCCCATCCCAGCTGGGTTTTTCCCAGATCCCAAAAAAATCATCCCCAAATCCCCCTGGAGTGGGGGCAGGGGGAGCGCCTTCGAAGGAAGGGGGAAAAAGCAGGAAAAGGGAGACACATCCTTGGGGAACCTCCCCAGTGCTGCCTCGGTTTCCCAAGGTCCTATTCCCAAACCATCTGTTCTCCATCCCTGCTCCATCCCCACTCCATTCCCTCTCCATCCCAACTCTATTCCATCTCCATTCCTGCTCCATCCCCGCTCCATCCCTGCTCCATCCCCTCTCCATTCCCTCTCCATCCCAACTCTATTCCTGCTCCATTCCCTCTCCATCCGATTCCCTCTCCATCCCCTCTCCATCCCCTCTCGATCCCCGCTCCATCCCCTCTCCATCCCCTTTCCATTCCCGCTCCATCCCCTCTCCATCCCCTCTCCATTCCCTCTCCATTCCCGCTCCATTCCCTCTCTATTCCATCTCCATCCCCTCTCCATCCCCTCTCCATTCCCGCTCCCTCCCCGCTCCGCTCCCGCTCCGTTCCCGCTCCCGGTGCCTTTAATTCCCGTTTCCCGGCGCAGGCCCGGCCCCTCCGGTGACACAGCAGCGCCGGCGCGGGGCCGGGCGGAGCGCGGGGAGGCTGCGGCCGGAGCGGGGCCGGGCCGGGCCCTC